TATCTACGTTGTTATAAGAATTAATGAGTTAATATATGTACAGCATTGACAATAATGCCTGATATAGTAAGTACCATGTAATACATACATTCTAATTCTGGAGAGAATAATACTTATTAGAGCAGAAGTCAGTTCCTATACCAGCTGTCACTTACTAGCCTCATGACTTTGAGCAATTCATTAGGCTTCCCTCCATTATAAAATCCTTCAGTTGATATCACGTTACGTGAAGGCACTTTTGAAATACCAAAATGCCATATAAGTGCAAGATATTTATTACTATCATGATATTATCATGAAGATTAGCTTCAGCTACATACCAAGGTTTGCCTTTTATATAGGATCTATATAAAGAAATCTTGCTTATGCATCAAGTTGTTCAGCTACTACTTTGTTTTTGGTTTTTAATATTTACTATTTTTGCTTTCTAATATTTAATGTTTTTTTAAAATATTTAACCTGCTGCATGGCAGTCATTGAGGACACAAAGATAAACAAGCCAAAAGCCTGGAGCTCACAATCTGGTAGGAAACGTGGGAGTAAAGGGCTAGGATAGCATTCTAGAAACAGAGAGCAGGGGTACTTGGTGGCCTCTCTGGAGGATGGGGGAAGGAGAGGAGGGGCAGGGGAATGGAATAAGAGGGAATGACACCTAACTGGACCTAAATTTTCCAAGTAGAACAAGGGTAGGAAGACATTCCAGGCACGCAGGGAATTGCAGAAGGGATGTGGCAATATGAGCTGCACCTACACAGAGGGAGGTGGGAGGTGGTGTGGGGAGAACTAGGTCACAAAAGGCCCCTCATGTGCCACATTATGAAATTTGGACATTGTCCAATAGGTGATTAGAAGCCACTTAAGGACTTTAAATTCAGGGAAGTAAACAATCATGTTTGTATTTTAAGAACATCATTTGACTGTGCAGACAGCAAAAGAGAGGCCAGGGAATCGGTTTGGGAGGCAATTGCATGATCATGCTATCATCTCAAAATGCTAAAACCAATTACCAGTGCATAATCCATGGACAAAACAAAATAAAACCTAAGTCAATCACTTTGCTCTTCAGTCTTTATGGGAGCAAAAATATACAATGTCAAATATATTCTTAAGAATAAAAGAGCATCAGTCCCAATAAGATGCACCAAAAAAGGTGGGTTGGAGGTACAGCAAAAAATGTTTACAAGAAGTTGAAGTTAAAACAGAAGTCACTGTTATGAGTCATTTAGGCTGGAGAGCTCAGCTAAGATCCGCAGAGAAACTGAGATGATACCTGCCCTTCCTCGTCATGCTTCACAATGTGAGATAATGTATTTGAGAGAATTTCAGATGATAACACTATACAAATCTAAAACACTGTTATATATTCTCAAAAGGGAAATTCACAAATGAGGAGACATTTCTGCTAAAATAGAAGCTCCCAAACAGTAGGGACTACATTTTCCTTGTTTGCTGCTGGATCTCTGATGCCTTATACATAATAATACTACAGGCAGGTACAATGCCAAAACCCTATGTGCATTAACTCATTTAACTCTCCTAACACTCCCAGGAGGGAGGGAAGATTATCCTCTGCATTTCACAGACAAGGAAAGTCAGTTTAAGGCTTCCCCAAGGTTAGCCACACAGCTAGTAAATTACAGAGCAAGGATGGATTCAAACCCAGCTAGTCTGTGTGTGGAATCTGCCTTTAACCACCATGTACGTACACCATAGTTATTTGCTCATTTGAAACAATTGGAGGAAGAGTCGTCACAGTTCCTGAAATGTTTGAATGATAGAATATTTTAAATGCAACTTTACTAGTTTCAAGTCCCTTTAAGTAACCAAAACATTTGAACAAATTATATCATACCTGTTATGTTAACAGACAAAAATAAATAAATAAACCTTTATATATAAATGTGTGCTTCTAAAAAGCCAGGATATTTTTTCCTGGAGCTAGACGAATAGTTATAAAGTTTATTTGGAAGAATAAACATGCAAGAATATCTAGGAAAAGTCTAAAAATAAAAAAAATTAAAGAGTGATGGACAGTAGAAAATAGGCCATAGTAGGTATTGAAGAACATTATAAAACTTCAATAATTAAAATGATACGGTATTGGTGCTTGAATAGACAGAACTAATAGAACAAAGAAACAATCCAGAAACAAACCTAAATGCATATGGAAATTTAGGTTTTAGAATAATGATCACACTAAAAAGTTGTTTTTAGACTATAGACATAAGAACTCTATCTTCCCTAAATCTAAAAACTTCTAACTATAGCCTTTCCCATAGAATTTATGTGGCTCATCTTTATTCCATAAACAGTTTAGAGGTAAACTCTATCCCAGATAATTTCTGAACAATTGTGAATTCTACAAAAGTTAGTACCCAAACTGTCTACACTAAGAAGAAAACAGATGGAACCATTATGACAAAATAAATATACGAGTAGGGAGAAAGAAATAATATAAAGGTAAAAGACGTATAGGAAGGTTAAGACTGATATCAAAAGACTGGTTAGCAAACACTCACTGATCCCCTGCAGAATGGCAGGAGTTCTGATAGACACCAGGGGTAAATAACGCCCTTTCCTTTTAGAGAACCCACTATTTATGTAGGAGCTGATGTTTAACAAAACCCCGTATGTAGAGAGCTGAAGGCTGTGCTAGAGGTATGTATGAGGGGCAGGGGACACTCAGGAGGGAAGAATTAGTTTTAATGGGATGGGATTCAGGACATCAGGGAAGAAAAGAGAAAGCTGCACAAAGGAGAGGACATCCAAGTCCCCTGTAAAGAAGGAGTAGGGTTCTCCTGGGAAAAAAGAAGGATTCAGGGATGGGGGCATGGGGTGGAGGACACTCCTAACACGGAAGTGGAATGAGCATGGCCTAGCTCGAGTTTATGGAGTGTGTGGGAGAACAGCAGGGTGGGAGCCAGCTATTGACTGGTCAGGTATGCCATGTCAGAAATGGTAACTTGATCCCACAGGCACCAGAGAAACCACCCAATCCGGGATTTCTGGCATGAGATAGGACAGTGGGGAGGGAACTGACTGAGGAAGACTGTTGGGAGGTCACTACAGCAATCTAAGTGACAGTGCTGCAAGCCTGAACTGTAGCAGAGGAAGTAGGAATAGATCAGATGTCAAATTCAAGAGACATTTTGTGTACAAAATCTACACTATTGGATGAAAGGATGGAGTGAGAGTCAGAAGCAAGGAATGAAGTTGATGTCTGTTGGATGAAAAACCCATGCCCTCTTCTCTGGCCAATTTGTTACTGCCTAGATGCCCACAGCTGGTCTCCTAGCATCTGCTCCATTGCCCACGCTGCAGACACAAGACTTCCAGTGTGCTCTCTCCGAGCTCAGTGGCTCCCTGTCACCATCATGAGAAGCCTGGTCTCCTCATGGGAAGTCCCTCATGTGGCCCCTTCCTCTCGAGCCTCACCAGCCACTGCACCTTTACCTGGCCCCGCACTGGCCCTTCACTAACATTCAAATGAGTCCCAGGCTCCAAAAGAGGGCCCCTGTCCACCAGCTCTCAGCTTCCATGTGCTGTTGCCTCTGCCTGTAGACGTTCCCCCTCCCACCATTTGCTTACACCTTTCCAAGTTTCCAGGGCCATGCACCATGGCAGGCCCAGCATAGCCACTCAAATATTTGTTGAACAAATCAGTGAGTACATGAATGGATTTAAAGTTCTTCTGAGTTTTTATCTTCTCATGGAAACTTTCCCTTACCTTATTCCTCAAATTTGCAATAGGTCAACTTTCCTCCCATCCTCTGGCTCATGTCCCTACCAGTTTCTCATACTGTCTTAGAGTTGCCCATTTGTTGTCTGTCTCCCCTCCCCCATAGACTGTGAACATCTTAAAGGAAAGGATTATCTTTTCTGTCTATATCCCAGGTTCTAGCACAGTATTTAGTACCCATTAGTCTCATTATGTATTGGTGGGTAATCAGATGGGATGGGAGTGGAGAGGAGGGGTTGGGAAATCAAAGAAATAACAGTGTTTGAAATGACATAATCAACAATGGAAACAATAGACTGGTGCTACAGGATTCGAGTTCCCTAGGGCTGGAGGGGGAAGGCAATCTCTTGAGGACTCACCTAGACAAAGGAAAAAATTACATGGCTTCCCCCAGAATTACTCTGTCCCACCATCATGGCCATTTGGATTCCTCTTCATGAGCATCAAGAGACAAATACTCTGTAAGTCCCAGATGATGTAATGTGCCTGCCACCCGCCTGGGGCCTGCCTTTTCCAGGCATTCAGAGAAAAATCATCTCCAGATATCACCATTCTATCTGCAATCTTACATCTTGGTTTTTGTTGTAGAATAAAGACCCTAAGATGGCTCGGGTTGCGCTGGAATCTCTCTACAGATTACTTTGGGTTTACATGATTCGAATTAAATGTGAAAGCAACACAGCTACTCAGAGGTAAGGAGTTGACTTGTGTTAATGGTGACCACATCACCGAGCCACTGTGGAGGGTGTTTTCTTTCATGCTGCCCATGCTAACCCTGCTAGAAGCTGTTCACAGCTGACAGTTTCTAAAAGATCTAGGTCCTAAGGAATATATTCAGGCTTTCCTTAGTCATTGGCTCAGCACCCATCACAAAAATTCCATCCTCTCCAAGGATCAACAAGTTCCACTTCAGGGTTGCATTGGCCACTTTAACAAAGGAAATAGCTACAATTTTCCGACGGCTCTTGGTTTTCCAGAAAAACTTTTCATAGAGTAATTATGCTAATGGAAGGGGTGAGGTGGTTTGTTTTCTTTTTCTGAATTCTCTCTGATACTTAGATAAATGAAACATCTGCCATTTTCCCTTAAAGAACTGGAGCTCAGCCAATCTTGCTTGTTTTCTCTTTTCTCCCTTATCTTTCAGCCGACTTATAACCATCATCACAACACTTTTCCCCAAAGGGTCCCGCGGTGTGGTGCCCAGGGATATGCCTCTGAACATCTTTGTGAAAATCATCCAGTTCATTGCCCAGGTAATGGGAAGTTTCTGGCAGTGGTAATCTTCTAACTGCTCTCGAGCAGCTAGGCTCCTTCTTAGGAAGTACTGAAAGATGAAAAGTCATTTAAACACCTTACGTGTTTAGACTTTTCAGAAAAGTTCTAAGTGTTTTCACACATAGCTTATTCTTTTGCTTCAAAACAAACTGTTCCAGGAGTACATCAAGTGTTTTCAGCCTCTGACAGATGGAGAAACAAAGACAGAGTTCAAGTGGCTCCTCTGAGTCACAAAGTCATAATTAGTAGAAAGGTCTCTTGACTGTTCGTCCCTGTTTTTTCCTGATTCTCTACTCTGGATTCTACAAGTAAAGAGGAAGCAAAGGGTCTGATGATTAGAGGAAATCAAAAGAAGGTAATTTAGTGAAATTTGAGGAGTGAATAATAATGCTCTAACTTTCACCCTGTGGAAAAGAACTGCACAGGAATATTAGCATTTGCCATGCACTTACTCTTTGCTAAGAACTGTCCTAAGTGCTTTACATGAATTAATTGACTTAAAACGTGGGTCCAGTATAGTATATATATATTTTTTAGTATGTAATTTACTTTTTAGACTCAAGAGTTATACTTTTTAAAACACTTTGTGAGTAAATGGTTTTACTTCACCTTTGACCTCCTCGTGATTTAGAGCAGAGCAGGAAAAGGTTATTACTCCAGTCCAGCCGCTGCTGTGAGCCATCTCTACAGCCTTAACCCAGAGAACATGTTTTTTCTCAGTTTCTTTGTCTATAAAATGGGGATGAAACTACATGCCCAGTGTGCTTGGGAATATTGTGTGGTTAAAGAGAAATAACAGGCACGAAAGTACTGTTGAAGTACGATTGATATTGACATAAAGATGTAAGCTTCCATCGTTACTTCCCGGACTATTTCATATTGGATCTCTCTCTTTGTGCCTGGTTCAGTGAAATACCTCTGTAATATTTGTACTTAGTGGAAGGACATTACTTGCTCTGCAGGTGGAAGAATCAATGTAACTTTTCTAGTTATAGTGTGGCTGAGGATATGTTTTGATTATTCTGAAATATGTTGTATAAAATGAACCCGTGTGTCTTAGTAACCACAGTCTTGAATTATTAGAAGATGGCTTAAATGCTCACATTTAAGTAACCTTAATATGTCTTAGGTGTAGATTATTCATCTCACTTGCAGAATTACTTGTTATAATATGAGCCTAGGATTTTTAATGTTGGAGAATAAAAGAAAAATGATCATTTCACAGTGATATCTGTAAAAATACATTTTAAACTGAGTTTCAAGAAGTTACCAGTATTTGCAATACAAGTAGGAAGAGTTTGGACTGTTTGAAACAGACACGCCAAGTGTTTTGGTTCTTTGCTTTTTGATTTATTTGTCATTCGTCATTCTGTGCTTTAGGGGCTCATTACATATCTTACATAGTCAAGACATCCCCATGCACCCCGTGCAAAACAGAAGTAGCCCCACCTCAGTTCAGATGAGTATGGTCTTCCTTCAGGGTTCCCTGAGATCCATAAAACCGAGCAGCACCTCTGCTCTTTTAGCCACTGCCTGTTTGATGCTTATGATGAAAATAGCCATTTTATGTCGAATTTGTATGTTAACATGTTCGTTTTGTTTTGTTTTCTTATTTTCACTACAGGAACGTTTAGATTTTGCTATGAAAGAAATCATTTTTGATTTTCTTTGTGTGGGAAAACCAGCAAAAGCTTTCAGTCTCAATCCAGAGGTATGAATGATCCTTTTATGTACTTCTAACAGAGCGTGTATTCACAGAGCCATACCTTTGCTTTGCGACTTTGGAGAATGAGGAGAGAGACATCTTCTCTAAAAGTCTGTTTGTACGTCCAAAGTCAGATAATGGAATTTCAGAAGTACAAGTTTGGATGAACAGACTTAGAATGAAATAGAGTTAGATGAAAGGTTAATGTGCGTTACCATATTCTGTTCTTGTATAACAGAGTAATTCTTGCCAAAAAGATAATCTCTTGCTAAGTCAGGTTGTTTTATTTTAGAAAAGTCAGTGCTTTTACTTACACTAATTTGATGCAGATTAACAGGTTTAGTATTGAGAAATGAAATAGATAAGAACAAATACATGTAATAACAAAAATACTACAACATAGGGAAATTTGTAATGTGCACGCATATGTTTCTGTGATAGCATCCCAACTCAAGGGCCAGGCAGCCGCGGAAGTGAGTGTATAGTGGGTACTGTACGCAATGTGGAGTAGTGCGGGCTATGCAAATGTGCAGCACATACAATTTCAAACTTTGAGAAACATGGTCAGCCAACAGAAACATGCCTGGCAAGCTGCCTCTTTATAGCTCTGTTCCTATGAGATTGTAAAAAGAACATTGGACCAGAAGTCTGCGGAGCTGGATTTGCCACTTGCCGCAGGCTCTGCCACTTTTCCTAGCTGTGTGACATTTACTTCTCTGACCTTCAGCATTTCTAGCAACAAAATGGACAAATTGCTTTTCTAGCTTACCTCACAGAATAATTGTGATGTTACGAAAAGTACATTACAAACTCTTAAGCAAAAAAAAAAAAAGAGAAAAATTGAAAACTTAAATATATGTAATACACATATATATATATATACACATACACACACATATATATAGTTCCTATCATCTCTGTGATATTCTATCAGTGAGGAAGGAGGCCCAGAGCCCAGAGGCTCAAACCCAGGCAGCTGTTTGGTAGCAGAGGGAACCCTGCCATTCCCATGCTCCTTCCCACCACACCCTGCATTCTCTTCTTGGTACTAAGGCTTCCACATATCTCGGGACAGCACAAGAAGCCCAAAAATGGGAGTTTCTGTCTGGTATCTAATGACCTCACAGGCTTCTGGAATGGCTGCAGCCAGGATCAGTGGGCCAGTGCCAGGGGTGGGACCAGTGCCAAGCCAGTGGACAGGCCCACGGCTGCACAGTCTAGAGTCTACTCTTGCTGGGGAGGTTCTCAAAATATTATTCATTTCTCAGTAGTCATGGCTTCCCACTCTTTAACAATCAATTCTCAAAATTACTGGATTGCTTGTCTGGAAAGGACATGTTAAAAGCTACCACCGTCATTATCACTGTCTGTAAAATGTATCCTTTGTTCTTCTCTCAAACTCCTCATTCAATCAATGATTAATTAGTTAACCTGTCTGTACAGAAGAGTTGGGATTTTGGTTTTAAAAAAAAAATTACCAATAGGAGGAAATATTTGGATATTTTTCTTACATTTCTCTTGATCTTGTAGGATTATAGAAGAATTTATTTATCAGGCACTCAAAAGCAGACACAAGGATAGAATAGTCTATGAAGCAAATGTCACACGCCCAATGAAATATGCTGTAGGGCGCAGTTTCTCAGGAAACAAATCCAGCCTGGGTCTTTAAAAATATTTTGGAAGTAGCTTGTGCAACAAGGCCTGGAGATCTAAAGGGTTGTGTTACTATAAAGTTTATATTGCACCACCATTGTCCTGTTCTAGCTCAGACCTAGATACTTCCTACATACACCCTCATCATCATGAAAACTTGCTCATCTGTAAGAAGACTTTCTTGCTTATCAATTTCTCTCAGTTTCACCTGGATCTAAAATAACGTGGAACTGGAAGTCCTACCCAGTGCTCGAGGCAAGAAGAAGAAATAAAAGGCATATAGATTGGAAAGGAGGAACCAAAAGTGCCTTTATTCACAGACTCTATAGAAAACCTGCCAGGACTAATAAATGATTTTTAGGAAGTTTGTAAGATATGAGATAAATATTTAATATATTAAATCAATGTATTTCTATATTCTAGTAATTCCCTATTAGAAACTGAGAAATTTATAGTAGCAATGAAAAACAAAATATTTAGCAATAAAGCTGACAAAATATATGCAATATTTTTATACTAAAAACACAAAATGTTTAGAGAAATCAAAGATGAATCAAATATATGGAGAGAAACCCTGTGGATTGGAAGCCTTAATGTTATTAAGAGGTCAGTTGTTCCCATATTGATCCACAGAGATTAAACTATAATCCCAACAATAATAATTCCAATTAAAATCCCTGTACCTTTCTCTGTGGAAATCAACAAGGTGATTTTACGATTTATATAGAAAAATCAAAGGAACTAGAATAACCAACATAATTTTGAAAAAGAAGAATAAGGTTGGAAGACTAGCATGGCCTGATTGCTAGAAGGACTTGCTAGAAGGTTATATAGTAATCAATGCAGTGTAGTATTGCCAGAAGGATGAATGTAAAGACCAACTGAGCAGAAGAGATACTCCAAAAAAGAGACTAACACATACATGGTTAATTGATTTTCAACAATGGTTCTAAGTTAATTCAATGGATAATAAATAGTCTTTCCAATAAATAGTGCTGAACAATTGGACATCCACCCGCAAAATAAACAGCCTCTACCCATAATTTGCACTGTAAACAAAAATTAGCTCAAATGGATCATGAACCTAATGTAAAATCCAACACCGTAAGTCTTCCAGAAGAAAACATAAGAAAAAATCTTTGCGACCTTCAAGCAGGCAAAAATTTCTAGGACATAAAAATCATAAACTATAAAAGAAAAAGTTGATAAATTGAACATTATCAATGTTAAAAAGCCTACGTTTTACAAGATACTATTAATAAAGTGGGGAGCCACAGACTGGGAGAAAATATTTACAAAAAATAAATCTGACTAAGTACTTCTATCCATATCTATAAAGAACTGTCACAACTCAACAA